TAGCTGACAATTGGCTGAGTTAGGCTTTGTCTAATAGACCAGGAGTCATCGAAAAGGAAAGTTCCAGTTAAGGTGAGCATCTGTTAATCAGAGGCATGCTACTGGACATACGAATAGACTCAAGTGGTTTGTTATATACATTGAAGACCTGGAGGTGTGTCTTGCAGAGCCTTAGGCCTGTTAATGGGTCACAAAAGATGTTTCTAAGGAGGGAGTGTGGATCATGATGAGCCATGCCTGATCTCCTTTCTCATGGCTAGCAATTCAGTTTTAGGGGATCCCCTTGGCCAAGATGGGGGCTCTGGGGGAGCCTTAAGATTTTATTTAAGTTCATACTGCTAAGGACTGATTTTCCTCTCCCTCCCAACTTGTGTTAAAGCCCCCATGTCCAATGTGATGGTATTTGAAGATGGAGCCATTGGGAGATAATTAGGTTTAGATTGAAGGAGCTCAGGGAATTTAACCCCCAAATGTTACTTTTTAGTATAAAGAGTATTTTGAATTAAAGGCCTTTAGCCATACACTAGCTTTGGAAGGGGCTTTCTATTTGCATAAAGCCATAAGGACCCATCAAAAAGAACAATTGCCTTGCCTTCCCTTCCTTGCTATCTCAATATATCGCAGGAAAGAAGATCAAGCATGCAACCAGACCCAGCCCTGTGGATTTTAAAGATAATACACTGTCTCGGGTTAATTTAATTTCCAAGTCAATCTGTTCCCTCCCATCCATCCATTCTCTCAAGTATCTGTTCATCCTTCCTAGAACCGTTTATTTTTACCCATGAAGAAAATTACGTATGTTCCTCATTTTCCCCTCCCCTCTAAAATGCGGGTATAGAAACTTCTAGACCCCACTGGAATATTGGGTAATGACTCTGTGATTCTTCTCCTACACACACTAAACAAATTTGTAACCTCTTTCTCTTATTAAACTGCCTTATTGTGCATAGATCTTTCTCTGAACCTTCCAGATGAAGGGGAAATTTTCCTTCTCCCCCATAAAATGAAGTCAAGAGGGTGGGGTCTTTGTGATGGGATTAGTGCCCTTTAAGGAAGAAACCAGAGAGCTTGCTTTCTCTCTCTGCCATGTGAGGACATAGCAAGAAGATGGTTGTCTGCAAGCCAAGAAGAGAGCCCTGATCTCGGATTTCTCAGCCTCTTGAACTTGAGAAAATAAATTTCTCTTGTTTAAACAGCCCAAGCCCCTGGGTGAGAATGGGTATTGTTAGGTAAGTGGCCCATTAGGAACCAAGCCACATAGCAGAAGGTGTCACCGTGAAGCTTTGCTTGTACTTACAGCTGCTCCCCATCCCATGGCTCACCTTAGGGCTTGAGCTCTGCCTCCTGTCACATCAGCAGCAGCATTAGATTCTCATAGGAGCCTTAACCCTACCATAGAGACAGCAGCTGTAAATACAGACTATCATTAGCAGAGAGGTTTGCCTGCACAGAGACCATAATAACTCAACAGCTTGCAGACTTCTATCAAAACCACCCCTGATCCTGTCTGTGGGAAAAAAATTGTCTTTCATGGAACTGGTCCCTGGTACCCAAAAGATTGGGGACTGCTGGTTTAAGCCACCTTCTCTATTATTCTGCTGTAGCAGCCCAAGCTAACACACTACCTGCATAGCACTTTAATCTTATTAACTTTGTATCCCTTTTCTGCAGTCTTCATCACCTCTCCTCTTGCCTGTTTTTCACCCATGATATTTTCCTGAGCTAGCTGGATGTGCCCCCTCCCCAAGTAACAGCTATGTTTTAAGACAAAAGTTAAAGTTTTTTTTTCCCTAGTCTTTTCCTATATCTTTGTAGTAATTTCATCTTCTTTAAGACCCCTATAACATGTAATCTGTACCACACAATATAGCACTTACTCCTATAACGTGATTTATTTTTAAATGTCTTGTGTCTGCAATGAAATAATAGACTCTTCAAGGGTGGGCCACATCCTGTATTCTTCCCCACATCAGTGTTTCCCAACATTTTTAAATTCCAGAGTCCATCTCCTAGTAATACACATTCTCTATTAAATCCTTGTGAGTTTTTAAAAAGTAATTTTATATGGAAGAAAGTAAAGAAGTATGTATTAGTCTCTTTGGGCTGCTGTAACAAAATGCCACACACTGGGCAACTTAAACAACAAAAATGTATTTTCTCACATTTCTGGAAGCTAGAAGTTCTAGATCAAGGTGCCAGTAGGGCTGGGTTCTAAAGAGGGAGGCTGCTCTTCCTGGTTTGCAGACAGCTATCTTTTTGCTGTATTCTTACCTGGCCTTTCTTCTTTGTGTGCAGACAGAGAGAGAGAGAAAGAGATAGATAGTGTCTCTTCCTCTTTTTATAAGGATCTCAGTCCTATCAGATTAGGGTGCCACTTTTATGACTTCAATTGCCCCTGATCATCTCCTTCGAGGCCCTGTCTCCAAATCCAGCCTCAATAGGAGTTAGAACTTCAACATACAAATTTGGGGACAGGAGACATAGTTCAGTACATAACAAAGTTATTTTGAGTAAAAACATATTTTAGGTCAGCGTATTATTGACTATATTATACATTTTCTTTTAAAGTTAATTTTAAATAACCTTTAATGATACTCATACCATCTAAAAGTTTATTATCAAAAGTAAATAAAAATTGTTTTAATGAACCTATGTTTAGAATTTTTGGATTTATATTTAAAAATTAGTTGATTTGTTTTCATAATTTTGGCTTCTCAACAGTAAGAAAAAAAGATTCAGGCTGCTGTTTGCAAGCACCTTCCCACAAATACCACAATATATGTGTAGATGTTCTACCCAAAAGCCAAACCAGTTATACTTTTTACTTTATTTTCTATTTTTAACGTTGTGTTTTGGCATGATAAGGTTCAATGTGAAAATTTTGATCAGAATGCCTTTTAAAGATCTAGTGAAGTGCTTGAGGGAAATTGGAATAATTACCAGGTTTAAATCCTTACCAACGCCTGGCACATCAACATCACTTAGGAACACTGTCTTTGCTGCCTTTAAACAACAGTCCATTCCATACAATAAGTAGAACACTATGTGACAAAGAATAGGAACAATTTAAGATTGTATAATGGTCAAAATCCAAACTGTGGTGTTCCACCGAATCAGATAAATAGATCAAATGAATGAACCATAAGAACATTCCCCTTCTCTTGACTGAGTCCAACACTATTCACTCAAGTCTCACTCAAAGGCACTGTTTTCCTGTGTTAATGGAAAAAACTAGACACATAAAACAACATGGATACATTTAAAAACGAAGTACACTAAAAGAGGCTGGAAACCAAAAAGTATAAACTGAAATGACTGAATTTATTTGACATTCTAGAATGTGTACAACTAAACTATGATGGTAGAAAACAGATCAGTGGTGGCTTCTTGAGGGTGGGAGATTGGGAAGGAGTTCATGAGAATGTTCTGGAATATTCAATAAGCTGTTGTCAAAACTGGTAGAATACAATATTTAAGATTTGAGTACTTTACTGTATGGATGTATATCACAAAAAATTGAAATAAAAAAGAAAAGAAAACAGAAAAATAACCAACTGGTGAGTTTGGAAGATTGTTTTCTTCTTTCCATTGGCTGCTCTTCATTCTCTACACCACTTATGTTTTCATACTTTTCCATCTCAGCCAGTCTGGTGGGTGCGTGTAATGGTATCTTGTTGTGGGTTTTGTTTGAATTTCCCCAAAGACTAATGAAGATGTGTACCTTTTCACATATTGGATATCATCTTTTTGAAGTATCTATCCATTTTTCTATTAAAATGTCTTTCCCTTATTTAATTGTGGATGTTACATATCCCAAAATATTTAATAGTTAGTATTTTATCTCAGGCCTAGCTTGCGTTTTTACTCTCAATGATTTCTTTTGATGAATAGGTGTCTTTATTTTAATACAATTCAACTTACATATTTTTCCTTTATGATTAGTGCTTTTTATGTCTGATTAACTTTTTACCTATGCCGAGGTTGCAAAAATGTTCTTTTATGTTTTCTTATTATTTGACTTTTAATGTACACATTGGCAATCCAAATGAAATGTAGTTTTATTTATGTGAAGAAAGAATATGAATAAAGTTTATTTGCATATGGATATCCAAGTGACCTAACACCATTGTTTGAAAATACATTTTTCTTCATTTCATATTTATATCTTGGTATTTATTTACATACAGAGATACACATTTAGACATTTATTTACATACATGCAAACTCTACACATAGTTCTATATTCTCTTGTTATATTACCATAAATAATTTAGTTAATCCTCCTAAAGTAGACAGTATTAACATGTTTGTTATTGTTGTTATTAATCTACGGAAATGAACATTTTGTTTAAAGTGAGTGCCAGGTGTTTATTTTCTAAGGATAAATAGCTAGGAAAATTGCTGGGTTAAAGTGTGAGTCTATTTTAAAGTTTGCCTTCTGTAAAGGCTATGCTAATTTTAACTCCCACCCACAGACCTAAACCTGTTTCCTCTTAGTCTCACCAAGTGGCTATTATCAATCTTTTAAATCTTTGACAAACGGAGTAAAGGAAAACGTTATTGTTTTCATTTTCAATTTATTTTATAATAGGTTAAACAACTTTGTATCTTCTTATTGGCTACTTGCTTCATTTGTTTTTTGTCGTACTGCCTGTTGGAATTTTCATCCATTTTCCTTCTGAGATTGTCATTTCCTTATTGTTTAAATCATATAAATACACTCCCCCCAAATTATGTCGCCGTTTCCCTAGTTAAACTTTTAACATCATATTGTCTTTCGAGCTCCAGTTTTAACCCAGTCTATACCAGACTAACACATCTACCCAACAGCGCCAGAAAGCCTTCGGATACAGCGGCCAGGTGGGCGGAGCCAGCATGTCCTGACAGATATGCCCCGCCCCTCTCACCAGTCCACCCCCTCCCAGGGCGGGGCCAAAGCCTAGGCCTGCGCGCGCAGCTTCCGTTGCCATAGCGGCTTGTGGGTGCAAGAAGCTGGCGCTTTTCCCCTCTGGTAACCCGCGGAGAAGCGAAACCTAACGAGCCAAAGCCTGGGCGCTGCGATACTAGCTGGCGTGCGTAACGTTGACGCAGGCGACGCTAGCGGGACTAGAGGGCGCGTGCGCGGTGTGTCTGTCAAGGGCCCCGGGCTTCCTGCGTTCGGCGGTGGCTGGGCCGGGGAGGTGGGTGCCGGTTCCCGGTGCTGCGGGGGCGTGTCCGGGCAAACTTTCTGGCCTACCGGTGCGCCACCTCTCTCCCTCGCGGCTTGGGGCGTAGTGGACCCAAAGGAACGACTACCCCGGGAAGCAGCCCCCAACCCCGGGAGCGGAAGTGGAGGACGGCCCCCGAAAGCGAGTGAAGCGCTACTTCTCCAGACAGTGGGGCCCCAGGTGGGCGTGAGCGAAGGTAATCCAGGCTGGTTCCGAGTCCGGGTCCTCCTCAGACTTTCCGGAGGGTGAGACAGGGGCTGGGGTGTGTTCCAGGTCAGGAACTGGGCAGCTCGAATGGGGGCTTGGGATTCGCTTCCACTGGATGAAGTGAGGTCTTGGGTGCCCTGGCCCTGCGGCATACACACTAGCTGCCACAGTTGCTGAGAGGACGAGTTGGCGGACGCACTCAGAACTGCTTTGTAAGCAATAATTGGAGCGCTGTTGATGAGATCTTGTGGGTTTGTGTTAGGCTCACAAATTTTCCAGGTATTCCCTTTGTTGTTTGGGGCGGGGCCGCTTGACTTCCTACTAGAGTCTGCAGTGTAAGGGTGGTAATACTGACCCATCTAGCAGAATTAGGATGCCACAAAACTCTTTGGAGTGCTTCATGGAACGGGCAGAGGATCATAAGAAAACTTTCCCACACATTCTGAGGACTTTTTTTTTTTTTTTGTCATGCATTGAAGTGCTGTAGTGAAGTTGAGATGCAGTATTATGACTCATATTCAGAATCTGAACAGAGAAGTATTTTTGGTGCTGTGTACCAAGCATTGTTCTCACTTCTTGGGACGATATATGAATAAACAAAACAAATATCCCTGCCCTATGGAGTTTACATTCTAATTTGGGGAAGACAATAAACAGTAAACATAAGTAAATTATAGGTTAGAAGAAAATTAGTGCCAAGGGGAGGAAAAGTACAGCAAGGTAAGGGGCATTGAGAATGCAGTATGTAATTCTAAATAAGCATGTCAGGGTAGGCTTCATTGAGAAAATTAGAGTCAATACTGGAAGGAGGTGAGAGAATTTTCTGTGTTCATATCTGGGGGAAGAGTATTCCAGGCAAAGGCTTTCAGCTTGGAATGTTCCTGGTGTCCCCAGTGAATAGGGAGGTGTGTAGTTGTAGAAGAATGAGGAAGGGAGTAGTAATAAAAATTAGATGGCACCATAGCTGAAGTACAGTCAGGAAGAACAGTGGAGTGTTTGAATCGCTTTAGTTGTCTGCATGTGGAGGTAATTACATATTAGCTGAGGTAAGATTTCACAGCTTCACTGCAGCTACTAATTAGAATGTGAAGTTAATGACTAAAATCAGACTTTATCTGAAAAAGAATGTAACTGAGATCTCAACATGGTTGTAGTTTCCAGCAAGCAAAGTGTAAATTAAGACAGAGGAGCTTATTATAATAAACTTTTATTTGCTCCTATTTAGGATTTTAGTTACTGTGGAAATGCCTCTGTTTTGCCTTCTTCCAGAAATTTGTCTAAGTTCAACTGCTTCTGCTGGTGGGGAAAAAATGATCTAAGGTAAGAAAAAGATGATGATGGGTTAACTATGACTTCTAAACCTCTATTTAAATGTAATTTGTAAATACATTGTAGCAAATAGTAAGGACTTAGAAGTACCTGAACTTAACTGGTAGATAGACATGTGAATAAGCATAAAGTTAAAAAGGATGAAAAAAGTATGCTAATAGAACAATACAAAATAAATGCTAAAAGTATGAAGTCATCTGGATATTATTTATTATGGCAGTAGCTCTCTTTATTTCCCATTTTATCTTCAAATAACATCTTGTCTAGGATGGTGATTTAATTACCAGTTATTTCACATTTTCTTTTCTTTATTTTTAGGGACGGGGTCTCCCCCATGCTGGAGTATAGTGGTGGGATCATAGCTCACTGCAGCCTCAAACTCTGGGCTCAAGCTATTCTCCTGCCTCAGCCTCCTGAGTAGCTGGGACTACAGGTGCGTGCCAGGATACATGTCTCAGCTGAGACCCACGCTGGTCTCAGACTATTGGCCTCAAGTGATCTTCACCTCTTGTCCTCCCAGAGTGCTAAGATTATAAGCATACACCATCACAATCAGCCTAGATTTTTTCTTTTTCGAAAACCACTGTAGAATTCATTGTATATACTAAATAAGTGCAGAGTTCATGAACTAAAACACCTGTTGATTAATATTACACTAATAGGTACCACATAACACTCATGCACTTATCTGCTGGAATTCATGAATTTTCCAACATCATGTCATTCAAGTCATGCAGCTTTCTCATATCTTTTTTCATCTCCAAGAGACAGATGTTACTGGTTTCTTTGTCAGTGTTAGTATACAGAATGTAGAGTGACTATTTGTAATTTGTATATTCAAAAACGATATTTCTTCAGTTTCAAATTCTGCTATCAAAGTGTGTTGAGCAGTTTTAATAGCAAGAAGAAATAATCATACTTTATAGTGATGAGTAGTGATATAATGATAAGTGTGGAGCTGTTTGAGCAATTATATAAAAGGCAGGAATCTGTAGATTAGAGGCATGCTAGCATGAACTATGTGTCAGTTTTAGCATCAAGCAAGAGGAGGCTAACCTCTCAAGTTTACAAATTATATGATGATGAAAATTAGTTGGTGACCTATGTAGGTGATTGTTCCCACCAAAGTGCATGTCTTAGAGAATGAAATTTGGACAGAAGATGTACTCAACAATCCTAATAGAGGGGTAAGTGGCTGGTGGCAGGACCAGTACTGGGTTCATTGCATGATCTTCTCCTGGAAGGAGATGAGATATGGAGAGAACCCAAAAGTTAAAAATCACTTATTGGAGCTTGAACAAAGGTCATATCCAGGGATGAATCCCTGAAGGTATATTTGTTGGAGGCCATGAGGGTATTGTCGCAGCTGTAGGTAGCGGAGAACTTTGGAGAAGAGCAAGATGGGTTACTAAGATAACAAGAGCTTTCACTCACTGATGCTTATTCTTTGATATAGGTGCTTTATATTGTTTTCTTCTTAAAAAAAATTATATTCCAGACTTTTTAATGGGAAGAAACTGAATTCCAGAGACATAATTTATCTAGGATGATTTATGAAGCTGTAAGTAGCTGAGCTGGAATTTGAACTCAGATCTGTTGGACATCAAAGGCTTTACTCTTTGATTACTCCAAATCACCCTGTTATGTAACAATGTGCTGACATTAGCTTTCTCATTTTATGGAGTTTGTCGAGTGTGATCAGATTCACTGCTGATGTGATTTCACTCACTAATAAATTGGATTCATTTAATTATGTATTTTCTTTTTCTAGATTTTAATTTGATTTGAAAATGAGTAAGTGCAGAAAGCCACCAGTTCAGCAGCTAGCAAGTCTTGAGACATTCAGCTCAGATGTTCTTGCTGACATTTTTGAACTCTTTGCCAAGAATTTTTCTTATGGCAAGCCACTTGATAATGAGTGGCAGTTACCAGATCCCAGTGAGATTTTCAGCTGTGACCACACAGAATTTAATGCCTTTCTTGATTTGAAGAACTCTCTAAATGAAGTAAAAAACCTACTGAATGATAAGAAATTGGACGAATGGCATGAGCACACTGCTTTCACCAATAAAGCAGGAAAAATCATTTCTCATGTTAGAAAATCTGTCAATGCAGAACTTTGTACTCAAGCTTGGTGTAAGTTCCATGAGATTTTGTGTAGCTTTCCAGTTATTCCAGAGGAAGCTTTTCAGAATGGAAAACTGAATTCTCTACACCTTTGTGAAGCTCCTGGAGCTTTTATAGCTAGTCTCAATCACTACTTAAAATCCCATAGGTTCCCTTGTGATTGGAGTTGGGTGGCTAATACTCTGAATCCCTACCATGAAGCAAATGACAATCTTATGATGATCATGGATGACCGGCTTATTGCAAATACCTTGCATTGGTGGTACTTTGGTCCAGATAACACTGGTGATATTATGACCCTAAAATACCTGACTGGACTTCAGAATTTCATAAGCAGCATCGCTACTATTCACTTGGTCACTGCAGATGGGAGTTTTGATTGCCAAGGAAACCCAGGTGAACAAGAAGCTTTAGTCTCTTCTTTACATTACTGTGAAGTTGTCACTGCTCTGACCACTCTTGGAAATGGTGGCTCTTTTGTTCTGAAGATGTTTACTTTGTTTGAACATTGTTCCATAAACCTGATGTACCTGCTAAACTGTTCCTTTGACCAAGTCCATGTTTTCAAACCTGCTACTAGCAAGGCAGGAAACTCAGAAGTCTATGTGGTATGTCTTCGCTATAAGGGAAGAGAGGCCGTCTATCCTCTGTTATCTAAAATGGTGCTGAATTTTGGGACTGAAATGACCAGGAAAGCCCTCTTTCCCCATCATGTGATTCCTGAATCTTTTCTTAAAAGACATGAAGAATGCTGTGCATTCTTCCATAAATACCAGCTAGACACTATTTCTGAGAACATTCGTCTGTTTGAGTACATGGAAAAAGAGGAACAAACAAAGCTGAATAATTTAAGGGACTGTGCTGTACAATATTTCATGCAAAAATTCCAACTGAAACCTCTTTCCAGAAATAATTGGCTAGTAAAAAAGTCAACTATTGGTTGTAGTACAAATACTAAATGGCTTGGGCAGAGGAACAGATATTTTAAAACCTATAATGAAAGAAAGATGCTGGAAACCCTTCCATGGAAAGATAAGGTAGCCCAAGGATACTTCAATGTTTGGGCAGAAGATCATGGTGTATATCATCCTGGGCAAAGTTATCTTTTAGAAGGGACAGCTTCCAATCTTGAGTGTCACTTATGGCATATTTTAGAAGGAAAGAAACTGCCAAAGGTAAAATGTTCCCCCTTCTGTGATGGTGAAATTTTAAAGACTCTTAATGAAGTAATTGAAAAGTCATTAGGAGGAGCTTTGAATTCAGATTCCAAGTTGAGGCCAAAACAACAATATTATTGTTCTTGTCATGTTTTCTCTAAAGAACTGATGTTTTCTGACTTGTTTAGCTTTATCAAGTGCCTACAAGATGAACAGAGTGTAGAACCCAGCAACCAAATAAAGTGCCTGCTTGTGGGTTTGCCAACTTTCTATGATATCAAAATGCATATACCCTTGGAAGTGCAACTTGTGGAATCAGCTGAACTCGTGACTTTTAGCTGTTCATTGCTTCATGATGGAGACCTAACTTACCAGCATTTATTTTTGGACTGCCTTCTACATTCATTGCAACAGCTTCAGACAGGAGACGTTCTGATTTTGCCTATACTTTCTTGCTTTACAAGATTTATGGCTGGTTTGATCTTTGTACTCCACAGTTGTTTTAGATTCATCACATTTTCTTGTCCCACATCCTCTGAGCCCCTGAGGACCTGTGCAATCCTGCTATGTGTGGGTTATAAGGACCTTCCAAATCCAGTTTTCCAGTATCTGCAGAATGTGAATGAACTGTTGAGCACTTTGCTTAACTCTGAGGCGTCCCAGCAGGTTTTACAATTTGTGCCAATGGAAGTGCTCCTTAAGGGGGCATTCCTTGATTTTTTGTGGGATTTGAATGCTGCCATTGCTAAAAGGCATTTGCATTTGATTATTCAAGTAGAGAGAGAAGAAATCATCAGCAGCCTTCAGTTATGAAGTTAAACATGTCCTTTCTGAGATTCAGCTTCATAACTTATTGTTTATCTAGTATTTTTACATCATTCACAGTCTCATTAATTCTGGAAAACCAACAGATTCTGATCTCTGGGATGTATACATCCATAGCATAGAGTTCATCCAAGTGGTAGAATCTATGCAGTGATGGTATTCAACTTCTGAATATGAGATGTGTGTGCGCGCTTGGTGTCGATCACCCATGTTACACATGCAGCTTAGATGGTCTTATTTATCTGCTTAAGATTTGCACCTGTGTGCCTTCATTCAGGTAGTTTTTCTAGCTAATTTCTTCTCAGTGGCTAATGGTATTGATGAATTGATAGAGGTCATTGATGAAAGGGGATGAGCCACTCCTCAGTAACACTGGTATGTTTTAACACTTAAACTGTCATTTATGGATTTCAGGGAATTCATCTTGCTAGATTCTTGATACGTGCCATTCATTGCCCTTATGCAATTGACCCAATTTTATGGCTCAAGATGAAACTAGTGCTCTGTTGTATGAATCTTTTACTAACCACAACCATCTGACTGAAAAAGATGACAGCTTTAAGCCAAAGATCATGTTTAAAACCATGAAAAACTGTTGTGTCTAATATAATCTCATATCGTGAAAAATTTCATTTAGCAATGGTATGATTTTTAACTTCCAGGAAATTTGTGAATGGAAAGATTTTTTTAGACTTTAAAATAGTGTTTATTGTCTCATATTGGAGACGTGAATGTGATGAACATAATGCTAAAGAGAAATCCTAATACTTTTGGAATGATGGCTCAGCATTTAAAAATTTTTAAACTTTACTAATTTCTTTTTCAGTATGAAAATAGCACTTTACTAAAAGGTTAGTCACGAAATGGTTATCTTACCAGTTACGTTGATTTCTTTTATATGTAGTTAATAGTGTAATGAATTTTTCTGGGAACTCTATTAGGTGAATCTTCATTACCTTGAAATTCCACCAAGTGTAGGATACTTACATTCTCACTTGTGCATTTTAGGCATTTTTGTTAGTTATATAAATAATAGATAAATTCTCTGATGTATTCAGTTGATAAATATTAATCTGAAAAATTTTCATGTTCTTTGCTATTTTGGGTTCCATTATAGTTTCATGAATAAAGTCATTAGCAGAGAGATTTTTGTGTTCAACTCTCTTTTTTAAAGAGAATCATGGGGGAAGTTAAAAATTTAACTTGGAAACAGACCTTTTTTTAAAGGAAGGTTTGAATGAGAGTTAATGCCCTTTCATTTCCTCTGATTTGCATTCATTAAAATTTAGTCCTTAATGTTGTAATATTTATGGAAGACCTACTTCAGGAAAGAAATTAAGTACTTAAGGAGAGTAGAGAGGGGAGTGTGTGGAGGCCTGAAAGTAGATTTTCGAAAGAAATATGATTTCCTACTGGTGACTGTATGAAAGCTATTCCAGGTGTATGATGATGGAAGTATGATAGAAAATTGGTTAACAAGAGAGAAAAAACCACTCCTGGAACACCATTTTGCTTTTAGTGGTCTTTTTGCCTTGGTAGGCATGGTTCAGTATAATAAAGCCATTCATTTTTACTTGTGTTACTTACCCGATCAGAATGAAAGCCTAAGTCCAAATTCTAATATTTAAATTTTCTTTTGAGCCCCTCAAGTAAGTATTGGATGTTTAGTTTTTGAACACTTATCTGTATTGGATATATAACACTGGATTATATCGCATACTAGAATATGTTTTGATTTTTAACGTGGCTTTTTGCTACTCATCTGATTTATTAGATTCACGTTGCTTTCGACATGAAGTAGGACTTGAGCTACATATAGTGACAGGGACCAATAATGTGTAGGAATTTCTCTTTGAGAGAGGACAAAGTACTGTCTCAAAAGATGAAAAAGGAGAGGACAGAAAGAGGTGAGAGATGGTTTGTATCTTTTATCGAGGTAGTTACTGTTTTTAAAAATATTTTTTCCCTACAGGTTTTGAGATTTTTAATTCTCATGCTTTTTGAAGTTTTTAACAGCCAGAAGAGTTAACTTCACAAATGTATTTACTAAAAACTTAGCTGAGAAAGAAGTCTTACAAATTTATTTTCTTCAGTATTAATTTTTGTTCTCCCAAAGGAAAAAGTCAGTTTTGTGTTTTACTGGGGGCTTTTGTTGTAATGTTTAAGTATTTAAGTCTATTGAAAACATCTTTTTTGAAAGAAATTTAAGATCCAAATTTGTGGACTTGACTTTTTTAAAATTTATTTTTTGTTTAAAGAGATTTATGGAAAAAAAAGAGATTTATGTTTTTTTTTTTTTCTATTCCAAAGATATTGTAATGGAAAAAGCAAGGTTAAAATATTAGAAGAGATGAAAGAAACGTGTTATTCATGCATTTGTTATTTATCTTTAGTGTCTTTAGTGAGACTATCAGGTCTTTATAAATATTTAAACACACCTACTCTTTTTTTTGAGACAGAGTCCTACTCTGTTGTTTGGGTTAGAGTGCAGAGGCATCATAACTATTCACTGCAACCTTCAAATTTGGAGCTCAAGCAATCCTCTTGCCTTAGTCTCCCAAGTAGCTGGGACTACCAGCATGTTCCACCACAGCCAGCTCATTTTCCTAAATTTTTGTATAGATGGGGTCTAGCTCTTGCTCAGGCTGATTGTGAACTCCTGGGTTCCCAAATTTTTAGGATTATAGGCATGAGGCACTGTGCTCAGCCAAACCTTAGCTTTCATTTCTGGATAAGATCATTAGGTGTGTATTTTGAATTAGTTACAGTGCTGTGATATAGCAAGTCAGTTAATCCCTCACATTTCTGGAAAGGAAAATGTTGATTATAAATCCAAACAAAATCTCAGTTTCCATATTAAAATAGTCTTCATTGGTTTAAAATAAGAGCAACACTGATGGTATATTTGCTTTATAAGATGAAAGTAAGAAGTAGGACATTTCCAGTTTTGTTTCAGTTTTTTAAATTGCTTTAAACCATAAATGATGATTATTTTTATACAAACAATACATGCTTTTAAAGATTTTCAGCAAAGCTTAAAAGGTGGTCTGTTATCTTTGTGTTCTAAAAAAATTCAAGACATTAATACACTAAAACAGACTTTAAGTTTCATTCATTTAATATAATTTGAACAAAATGTAGACTTAATGTAAATAATATCCTATTTAAAATGATGACAAATTATTGTATCTAGATGGTATAGGTTTCTAAGTCCTGGCTGAAAATTTGATAATAGTCAACCTCCCCTTTTTAAAAATTGAATAAATCCTTTCAGGCTGATCTTAGGAGCATAACTATAAAATAAATCTCAATATTAAAATGAAAGACGAATATTTCGTATTTCAAATTCAATATTGAAATTAAAATGAATTCATATTTAAATTCATTGATTAAAATTTAAACCTTTTTTTGGTGTTGGCCTGATCAACCAAGTAGCAAGTAAACACAAAGCTTGATACTACATATCATAACTCATAGTATGTAAGTACGTTTTAGGATGTATAATTAAAAATGTATATATGGTAAGATGTTGCTGCTTATTTTCAACCTCAATGCATTCTTTTGTTTACATAAAATTGTAATTTTTGAATGAGTTCTCCCACTCTCTTGTTATTTAATATCTTTAGATAACAATAACTTTTCCTTATTGTTGGCTAATACAGAAAATGAAGATAACTTCTTTTGGAGTAAGTGAAAGTTTATATTGGAATGATTTGGCAGGAGGTGAAGCTTTATGACACAGATACATGAAAGTGCCTGCTGGTCTCTATTAGTGAAAAGACAAAGATTATCTGTCAATAAACATAAAGTAGCATTTAGTTTCACTCACCTGAAAATTTTACTTAAAAGTTGTATCTGATTATGTTCACATATAGGTTGCAGACTCGTTTACAAGTTGTACCCTTGATGTTTCTCTAATTTTCTTGAGCTCTTGATGTTTGTGTCTTTTCAGAGTGTCTTAGTCAACTAGGTGTAATCATTCTGTGTTCATTTATACCAAGTGCAGCACATCAGTTGAACTTATTGTTGGGCATTTAATATTACTATTGGAGACATGTTTTTAAATAATGGCTTCAATTTTGATTGTGATTTAAGGAAAACATTTGTAGAGATTGTTCTTTCTCTCTGAACTATTTGTGTCCAGTATGTTGCAAAAATATTTTTATTAAAAAAAGATTATACAGATTTTTGTGAATAAACCTATATTTTATGTGTTTCTGCATCTGTAGCTAGTTAAGATTATGCTTCAACACCAAATTACTTTCCTTGGCAACACAGTTGTGCTTTTACTGTCTTATCCTGTTAAAGTGTTTCTGTTCTGTTTCCAGTGAATCCCAGGATTGAAAAATCAGTCTGTGTAATAGACTAGCTGAGAATATTAAAACAAGCATAAATATTTTCTAGTGGATTTATTTTTTATTAGGGTAAACATCATTCCTGCAACTATTTGATAATTCTAGTAGTACTAATCTCTTTCTGGAACCATTACACTTGCTGCTTGCATCATTCATTTGAGCAGTATTTTAAGTGATACTGCGTTGTTAATTCTGTTTTTTCAGTCTTTGATTTTCTTGCCAAGATTATAGACTCTTCAAACATATCACACATACAGCAGAACCTCTATAAATTGACCACCCACAAATTGGTCAACATATGGAGGCGACCTATCCCCAAATGGAGTTGACCCGTTTATGGGTATTCAACTTACAAAGGTTCTACTGTACTTACTTTGTATGCCATGTCATCAATACAGATGTCTACAGAGTGCTAGTTGACTGTTTTTTTTATTATAGAAAACTTTCAAATATACACAAAATTAAAATGACATCACAACACTCCTATGACTCTTCACCCAGCTACCATAACAGGATTTTGAACTTGTTTTATCCTCCTCCTACACTTTTTTTTTCTTTGAGCATTTAAAATTCATGAAATACATACCTACATATATCTCTTAATAGATAAGCACTTTTGTCATACCTAAAAAAATGACTCATTATTGTGCAACACCCAGTCTAGGTTCAAAATTTCATGTCTCAAATAAGGATCCCAATAAGGTTTATACATTTTGTTTATTTAGTATGTCTCTTAAATCTCCCTTAATTCCCTCTCCCCATGTCCTTGCCCCTACAACTTTTTTACTATGCCATTTAACTGCTGAAGTCCTGTAGCCTTTTTTATATTCTGAATTTGGCTGATTGTTTACTTGTGATTTTGTTCGTTTGTTTGTTTGTTTCTCTATGCCCCAGATTTACTGTGAATTGGTAGGTAGACCTAGAGGATTGATTACTTTTGGCAAATGGTGTTGTGTACTTTTTATCACTCCAGGAAGCACAAAATGGCTAGTGTATCAGTGACATTTAGGTTAATCAGTTTAGATGTTGTCAGTCTGATCCAATTATTAAGTTATCTATCAATTTTTCACTTAATAGGTTTATTAGCCATACTTGCTCTATGAGGGGTTGCAATGTAGTATTTAACCATACTTCTTCTGTATTATGATGTGCTTGAAGTCACCAACTATTTGACATTTTTTCTGAATAGTTCAGGAAAAGCTGGACAAGTACATATTTTTTGTAAGCCCTTTATCAATTTTTATCAAAATAAGTTAGATTATCTTAGTAATCTCAAAAGGTGACAATGAGATTTTTTTTATTTGGTTGTTTTAAAACTTTTTAGGAACTCATGGATGGTTACATATTTGATGTATTTTAATCAGTTACAACCATTTGTTCTCACTTGATGTTCAAGTTACTCAATTTTGGCTTGGTTAGTTAGGAGAAGGGCTCCTTCATGCTGATCCCTGTCTTTTTTTTTTTTTTTTAGTTTTTGGCTGGGCCTAGGTTTGAACCTGCCACCTCTGGCATATGGGGCCAGCACCCTACTCCTTTGAGCCGCAGGCGCTGCCCTAATCCCTGTCTTTTTTCTAAGTGCAATCAACAATCATTGATAGCTTCTCTTCAGTATATGCCAGTTTCATCATGTATATTTTCCAGAGCTAATAGTGCCCTTACTTTAATGGCAGTGTCTCTAGTGCAGTGGTCTCAAACTTTGGGGGCTCAAAATTTACTCTGTCAAGAATTATTGAGGAGCCCAAAGACCTATTGTTTAAGGAAGTTACATATATTGATAATATTGTATTAGGAATTAAAAGAGAAAAACAAGTTTTAAAAAATAACGATAACATGTTATAAATAACATTGTTATGAAAAAGTATCTCTTAACCCAAAATTTAGTGAGAAATGCAGCATTGTTTACATTTTTGCAAATTATTTTTATGTCTTTTATAATAGCTGGATTCTCATCTGATTCTAGTCAATATGTTACAATACATTGCTTTGGTTAAAGTGCTTAAGAAAATGTTGGCTCTTATAAATGTGTAATTGGAAAAGGGAGAAGTAGTTTAATAATCTTTTTAGATAATTATGGATTTTTTTAATGCTACATACAAGCTTGACAGGTGATAGTTTCTTAAAAGTTGGTTCCAATGAAAAATCTTAAGCGATAATAATAACTTTTTGTGCTATATACATTAAAATTCATTGGTCTTTCTTGTACTTTAATGGATTATTTGCCCATATGTGATTTTTTTTAACACCATGAATTTGTCATTTGGAAAATGTTGGTTCCCTGAGTCATGAAGATCTTGCAAATGTTGACACAATTGATTATACCGTATCCAAAAAAATCATGTTTTAAAACATCACCACTGATCTCATAAAAAAATCTGTCAAGCTCAGCGTGGTGAATACAAATTTCCTAAAATTCTAATTTTCACTTGAGTGGGCAAATTTTATCATGACAAAAAACACTGACAGTTGTTTTCCTTGAAATGACAGCTCACTTTATTCATTTTTGAGTACTCAAATCTGCCAAATACTCAAGTCTCAATAACTGTAGTTTTTCTTTCAAGTAAAAATAGTGTTCTATGAAAAATGTACAATTTGAGTGCAACTCAAATTGCACAATTGTTTTTCCTGGAAGCATACATTCTACTTTGGTATATAGCAAGGCTTTATGTATGTAGCACTTTCCATTTCTACATCAAGAAAATTAAAGGCATGTACTCTAAGATCAATACTTAATGAAATTAATAATTTTTACT